CTTGTGGTGCTGTACCTTCGGTTTAACTAACTTCCTCGTTTTTTAGTAGTTCCCCTTTCTGACGTTAAATGCTACCATGGTGGATTGCTGTGATATTTCCCCCCTTCCTCAGGATGCTAAATTTAATTATATTATGGTCGCTGTTACCAGCAGTTCAGCTATATTCACCTCTTGGACCAAATCATATGTTCCACTTAGTGGTTAATCAAGAAATGCCTTTTTTCAGGATTAGCTGCTCCAAGAAGCAGTGATTTAAGGTGTCAAGAAACTTTATTTCTGCATCCTGTACGGAGGTTACAGGTACCCCAGTCAGTATGGGGATAGTTGAAATCCCTCTCCCCCCTAGTATTATTGAGTTGTTTTCTTGATAGCCTCTCTAATCTCCATGTGCATTTTACAATCATTATCATCATTCTAGCCGGGTGGTTGGGAGAATATTCCTACTGCTACAGTCTTATTATTTGAGCAGGGAATTACTATCCATAGAGGTTCTATGGTATAGTTTGGTTCATTTACGATTTTTACTTCATTTGACCTCTTGCTTTCTTTCACATGTAGTGCCATTTTCTCACCAGCTCGACCTGTTACGTCCTGCACATGTAGTGCCATTTTCTCACCAGCTTGACCTGTTACATCCTGATATATTTTGTATCCTGGTATTACTGTGTCCCATTGATTATACACATTTCACCACATTTTGGTGATTCCTATTATATCAGTATCTTCACTTAATACAAGACTCTTAACTTGCACTGTCTGTGGGCAGTCTTCTCACCCAAGTTCTCCCAGCTTTGTCAGCAGCTTCCTAATGAAGTCTCTCTCTGTCTGATGGCCTGGCTGAGCCATATGGAAGAGTTATTAGGTGTGCAAAGACCAATCAATCGGGACCCAAAAGTAATTGAAGTAGAACATGCAAACCCCCATGTGCTATAGAACGATGTATTAGCTCACCCAACAACTGTGAAGATAGTAAATAAAACTGGCAATGAGCTCCTGGAATCCAATACGGGAGATGATGCAAGCAGCCTGCAGAACCGTCTGGAGAAGTTACATTTGTGCTGTGAGTCTGTCCTGCAGAAAATGGAGGAGAGCGAGCAGCAGCTGCAGTCAGTGTTTCAAGAGGCCCAGGGTTTCCTAGAGGAGATTAAGAACTTCCTCCAATGGCTAACAAGGATGGTGTGTCAACCGTCTGCATCAAAACCCACAGGAGGTTTGCCAGAAACTGCCTGTGTAACTTCTTGCTGGTTTGCAGGACCTTTTACCAGTAAAAGAGCCTTACACAGTAATATCCTTACTCTCTATTTATTAACAGTTACCAAGTAAGCAGAATACACGAGCTAAGCATTCAGTGCCATGCTTACCAATCCTGATCAAGGCAGGTGAACATCCCCTGTTGGCCAAGCAAGGTCAGTCTCATCTGGATTCTGGTTGCTGCATTCACTATCATGCAGAGGATTCTTGGCAGCTCTGATCTTAGGCTGTGTCTTGGAGATGAATTCTTCTTCCAGGTTTTTTCCTATTATTATTCTTTCTGTTCCTTCTTTTCCATTCTTTCCGGTCTCCTCCTTGGTCCCCAGTTTATACAGTGAAACTTGAGTCCTGCTTAGCTATACTGTAACCAGTTATTATAGTAAACATTACTAACCACCTGCTTAGCTATACCGTAACCAATTATTATACTAAACATTACTAACCAATCCTAATATACTGTAATGTAATTCCCTATCCAGTTATTTCCCACCACCTTAATTGATTTACACCTAGCAAAATTAATTATACATCAGACAAAAACAATTAAAAACCAGGCAAAAATCTGTTTCTCATCAGATCCTACCTTGCCCTTACCCTGCGCTGGCAAATGAATGCTCCCTGGCTGCTTATGAGCAATGAGGAAGGGGTATCTATGCCACTCACACTTGCCTCTTCCCCCTGTGCCTGTTGGGTCCTTGCTGGTTTAGGGCTAATGTCTGGCATGCTCGAAGTCCTTTGTAGAGCGGGAAGCCAGGCCTGTTGGGTCCTTGCTGGTTTAGGGCCAATGTCTGGCATGCTCCAAGTCCTTTGTAGAGCAGGAAGCCATGATCAATAGTACTGGTGCCAGCAAATAGGACTTTCACCTCTTTTTATAAAGTAGGTTTGTGGGGGCACTGCAGAGAAGATCAAATCAGAATGAATTGCTTAAAGATAGAGCAACTTACAGTCCGAGACTGGGGTTCCTCCACTATAAGGCACCAAAGCACTCACAAAGAGCACTTCTTTTCATCACACTGGTCAGCAAGTAGTCACACAAGCAAGATACTCCAGCTTCTCTTACCTTTAGATACTCCAGTTTCTCCTGTGCCACAACCAGTACCACTCCTTACACAGATAAGAGGTTATGAAAACCTCTGAATCTAAACCTCACTGAATCTAGTACCACTCCTTACACAGATAAGAGGTTATGAAAACCAGCCTCACTGAATCTAAACAGGTTCTTCTAATTCCAAAGAACCAACCATGTTCCCAGGTCAATTTATACCTCAGATCTTAATCAAAAGAGCATGCTATGCCAGTGCTAACTCTATACTCTAAAGGTTTATTAATTAAAAAAAAAAGATTGAGAGTAAAATTGTTAAAGGAAACAAATTACATTAAACCAACGCAAACTTCTTGGTGCAAGTTTCTAGCAGAGATAAAATTCTAGAACCAGAAGGATCCTTGAGAGATCATCCAGTCCAGCCCCCTGCCCTCACAACAGGATCAAGCACTGTCTAGATTAGTGTTTCTTAAACTGTGTTCCGCAGCACTCCAGTGTGCCGCAAGGCAGTCACAGGTGTGCCTCCCTTAAAGACGCAGGTGACCTTTTTTTTCCTCAACAAAAAAATCCTGGGTGTTCCTCATAAAAAAACAAACAAACTGTTTTGTGTTCCTCAGTCTTAAAAAGATTAAGAAACACTAGACTAGATCATCCCAGATAGATGTCTATCCAACCTGCTCTGGATTATCTCCAGTGATGGAGATTCCACAATATCCGTAGGCAATTTATTCCAGTGTTTAACCACCATGACAGGAAGTTTTTCCTAATGTCCAACCTAAACCTCCTTTGCTGCAATTTAAGTCCATTGCTTTTTGTCCTATTATCAAAGACCAAGGAGAACAATTTCCCCCCTCCTCCGCCGGAGACACCCTTCTAGATAACCTGAAAACTGCTATCGTCCCCTTTCAGTCTTCTCTTTTCTAAACTAAACAAGCCCAGTTCTTTCAGTCTTCCTTCATAGGTCATGTTTTCTAGACCTTTAATCATTTTTGTTTCTCTTCTCTGGACCTTCTCCAGTTTCTCCACATCTTTCTTGAAATGTGGTACCCAGAACTGGACACTATACTCCAACTGAGGCCTAATCAGTGCAGAGTAGAGCAGAAGAATGACTTCTTGTGTCTTGCTCACAACACTCCTGTTAATGCATCCCAGAATCATGTTTGCTTTTTTTGCAACAGTGTCACACTGTTGACTGATATTTAACTTGTGGTCTACTATGACCCCCGAGGTCCCTTTCTGCAGTACTCCCTCCTAGTCAGTCATTTCCCATTCTGTATGTGTGAAACGGATTGTTCCTTCCTAAGTGGAGCACTTTGCATTTGTCCTTATTAAACTTCATCCTGTTTACCTCAGACAATTTCTCTAGTTGTCCAGATCATTTTGAATTATAACCCTATTCGTCAAAGCACTTAAAACCCCTACCAGCTTGGTATCATGCACATACTTAATAAGTGTACTCTCTGCCATCATCTGAATCGTTGATGAAGATACTGAACAGAACCAATCCCAAAACAGACCCCCGCAGAACCCCACTCGTTATGCCCTTCCAGCCTGATTGTGAACCGTTAATAACTACTCTCAGTGTACGGTTATCCAGCCAGTTATGCACCTACCTTATAGTAGCTCCCATCTAGATTGTATCTCCCTAGTTTATTGATAAAAAGGTCATGTGACACTGTGCAATTAATCAGCTGTCTTATAAGTCTTCGGAATACATCCTCTGTTAGGATGGGTCATCAGTCTTTTGGGGCTCAATTCATAGCAAAGGTGCTTCAGAAGTGGTGAGCTGGAATGAAGAAAAATGGAGGAATCTCCATGGCCCTTTTTATACCCTTGCTCCTGTAGAAGGAATTCCATTGTTCTCGCTATGTGAAAGTAAGCCCAAGATGGAGTTTGTTACATGTGCAAATCACCTGTCCATGCATGACTCAGTCTTCTTTAGGTAGCAGACATTGCTTACATGCTGGTTTGAATGTTTACAGCAAAGTTTCACAGATGTGAATTGGTACCACTTGAGGTGCATTCTCAGTGAAGTACTGCTAGTCACTTGACTAGCAACCCTTTTATAGTAGGTTCACCCAGCCTCCTCTCAGAAGCAAACATTTGAAATACAAGTACATAGCCAATACTCATAACTTCAAATACAAAAATCATACATGCATATGAGCAGTATAAACAAAATCAGCAAACCATAAGCTGTGTAGAGACACCTCACTTGGCCTACTTTGTACAAGATTTGGTGCACACATATAATAGTGGTTGCAACAGTGATTTGTATGTTCATTTTAAAATCCAGTAACATCTGTAAAGGGCTGTTGTGGGCTCCATAAAGCAGGAGAGCCTGGAAACATCAGTGCCAGGAGAGAGAGAGGGCTGGAGGTACAGCTGCAGCATCTTTTCTGCCTGTTCTGTTGTGACTGTGCTCTTAAATGCTGGCAGCTGCTGGAACTATAGGTCTGTCTTGCTGTAGGAAGTTGATTCTACCGCAAAGAAGAAGCTGACCCCACTCCTGCCTAGTGACTTATGATATGGCCCAATCATGTGTCTAGCTGTGGCTTTGGCTGGGGGCCACCCAATCCCCTGGTTGTTAGCTTTCTGAGTTTTTGTGGTCAGGACTTTGCAGAGAACATTGACTCTCGAGAGCTGGGGGGAGACATTATTGTCCTCACCTTTTACTCTCCTCCTCAACCTTCCCCCTCTTGAACAGCAATGGCCCCTGGGGTCAACGGAAACTGCTGGACTGCGGCTCTAATCATGGCAATAGGGCTGAGAATTCACAGAGCTCATTGCACAGACCCTCCAGGTAAGCAGAGACCCTAGCTCTGGGGAAATGAGCCCCTTTGGGCTCTTGGGATGGGGAACACAAAAGCTTTCCCCCTGCTCGGCTCAGGGATTCTCTTGCAAGAGACTCCCATCTGGAAGTGGGAGGATTCAAGGACAAGGAAAGGCTGCAGCAGAGGTGCGTCGAGGTGGGTTCCTGAGCTGATCCTCTCTCTCTTCTCAGAGTATTTCCTGCTGCAGCAGAAGTCTGAGTGTTACTACACCAATGGCACGCAGCAGGTGAGGTACGTGAAAAGGATAATCTGGGGCCAGCAGGAGATCTGTTACTATGACAGTGACTTGGGCTTCTCGGTGGCCCGCACGGAACTGGGTCGGCCGTTTGCGGAGCATTGGAACAGCCTGGAGTTGCTGAGCTACTTGTGGGCTTCTGTGGAAAAGTTCTGCAGTTATACCTACAGGAGATTTAAGAACATCACTGTGGATAGGCGAGGTAAGGGGAAGGGGGAGGAGACCAAACTGGCACTGGGAACAGTGGGCCGACCCCCATCTGGGGTTATATTTGCCTCTCTCTGCTCACTCCCTGCCAGGCAGCAATTGAACATCAGTAGGGCTGGGTTTGAACTTATGGGGCAGAGGGAGTGTTGGAGAACAGGGCTGGAGAGGACAGAATCTTTAACAACAAAGGGTTTCTCTCGACTTGAATAAGGCCCCAAATTCTAGTTTTGAGAGAAATTTTCCCCAAACCTGATACTGAAGGAAATAATTTGGGTGAGCACCATAGACAGGCCAGAACCCCAGAAATACACACAGGGTCCTCCCCATCTTGCCAACTCCCTCAGGCACTTCATGGGACTGGGACTAAGGGCAGCTGGTAAAACTCTCCCATACACCCCTATCAAAGCTCTCTGCCGGTGGCACTGTACCACAAGGTTCACATGAGAAGCAGTGTGAGGGTGGAACCAGTGTGGCTAGGAGGGGAATCATCAGAGTACAACCAGGGCTGTGCATTGCAGGGTCTGGGCGTCTGAAGGAGATGCCGACAGGTGGGTTTTGATGAGAAATCTAGATGATGTAGGCTTGAGTTAGCTCCCTTTGGGCCTGTTCCCCACCATGTCCTCACAGTGAGCAAATTTCTGATAGGACAGAGCAAGAGAAAGTGCATGTTCTGTATCTGGGCCCCTTTGCCAAGGTGTGTCTCTCTCTCACACACAGTTAAGCCTAGAGTGAAAATTTCCACCCTGACAGCAGAGCCTTCCCACCGCCCCAGCTCGCTGGTTTGCTCTGCCACAGGGTTTTATCCTTCCAAGATAGAGACCAAGTGGTTCAAAAATGGGCAGGAGGAGACAGCTGGAATTGTATCCAGGCAGTTGCTACAAAACGGAGACTGGACCTTCCAGAGCCACGTGATGTTGGAAACAAAACCCAGGTGGGGAGATGTCTACACTTGCCAGGTGGAGCACATCAGCCTGCAAACGCCCATCAGCATTCAGTGGGGTAAGAGACTTGGGGGCAATGCTGAGGATGCCTTAGAGACATGCCTAGCTCTATGGAGATCAGCAGAGGCTGGCCCTGAAGCAGACTGTAACAGGAGGTGTGCCTCATATTGTCCATGAAAGGGTTAACATGGCCCCATGGCATCTGCTTGCATTTGTTCAAGTAGGCCAGGCCTAACTGGAGATAAAGCCCACCTGGATTCTCCCCCCCCCCTTCCCTTCCATAAAAAGACCAAGTGTACCCAGTTGAGGGAGTCTGAGATGGGCTCAGGGTGGCTTTCCTCACTCTGGGGAGCAGGCGAGAAGAAGGCTGAGGAGAACAGGTGAATCAAAAGCCTGACTGGAGGCAGGGACCCTTCTGGGCTGCCTGACCCTCTGAGAAGGAGTGCTGGAACTAGGGGTGCTGTGAGTGCCTGACATAGTTTCTGTCATGTCCAGAGGTTACAGTTTTGTTCAATGACTATCAGCACCCGCCCCCCCACTATACAAACTATTCCTGAGTGAGGGGAGGAGTGTGCTAGCCCCTGAGCGTGAGGTTGTTGGAGGCACAGGCACATGAGGGGTGAAGTGGGGAAACGACTGGCACTTAAGGCATACCTGGGAGGAAGGGGTGGCCTGCTGAGATGCCTCTTGAGTTTGGTTGGGTCCATGTTTGTTTGACTTTGATGAAAGAATCTGAGGTCATGGAAGGGGCTGGACTCTGTAAAGTGGTCTGGCTGGAGGGCCAGGTTGCTCCTACAGCTGGAGGGGTGTGTGGAGTGGGGGTGGGGGGACGACCAAAAGAGGCAACAGGGGCTGCAGTGTACCAGCCATCCAGAATGGGCACAGTGCCACTTTCCTCATATGCTTCAGTAAGACACCAAAGCTATTGTAAGGGAATCAAAGTCCAGGCTAAGCTCCAACCCTTTGGGCTCCTCTTTTAACAGCAACACAGTCTGACTCTGCTAAGACCAAGATGTTTACTGGAATTGTAGGTTTCATATTGGGGTTGAGCCTCATGGTGCTGGGACTTCTCATCTACCAGAAGAATAAGAGAGGTGAGTAGTGGGCGAATAGAAGAGGTGAAAGGTGTCCCCAGTGTGATGGCCCCAAAGCATCTATTTACTATAATTCAGATTTATCTAGATAGCTTGAATTTCAAGGACACTTTGGAAGTTTAGGGCCTCTATTCCAACATCTATTGAAGTCAAGGGCAGTCTTTCATTGACTTCAACAGACCTTGGCCTTTAGTGACTGGAGATCTTTCCAGTAACCATTTGGGACATCTTTATGCTTTGAAAGAGCAGTCTCTGATCTGTTATAACTCTGAACAGGCCATTTGAATTCTGAGCTGCTGTGCGGGTTACTTACCGCAAATTCTCCACTTCTGCCCCACAGGCTTTTGCAGCATCGGTTTGTTGCAGACATAGTTTATAGAGTCTGGAGGTGGATGAATTAGTATTTATGTAGAAAAGAATTAAGTAATCTCTCCTCTGAAATAAAAAGAAATCAAACCCAACCAAGAAACCTATGAACTCTCGACCACAAAATTTTCGTTGGTTGTTCCTCTTGCCACCTTCCCTCTCAGCTCAATACACTTACATAAATGTAAGATTTTTCCATTTAAAATGAACGAGGAGGACAGGTTAAAATCATGTTGGATCTCTCTCACATAAACACTTGCAAGTGTAATACCAACAGACCCTAGCTGTCTGCAGTTGGAACTGGCCCTGAGACCTATAAAGCTTAATATGAACCTCTAATGCATGAGTGAAGGTTGTAAAGCAGTATTACTGTTTGCTCTGTAGGTGGTCTTGGGACCACTAGATGGGACAGTACATCACACCCAGCAGGTGTGCGGATTACACAAGCTTTCTCCAGCCTAAGCCGGTCTGATAACTCCCTCTTTTTCTTAAGCAAACAAACTTAGCAGGTTCTTCATTCTTGGTCCATTCTTCTTAAGAACACTAGTCCTTGACTGGGAATTGTGACCATCAAGGGGCTGGTTGGTTGTTTTTGGATGATATACGGTTTCACTGGAAATCGCTGATTTGCTGGTTATATCTATCACAGTGAAACTTTTGTCAAAACACAGGCGCATTTCCATTGGGAACTTCTCTCTCTTCCAGGGTCCACCACCCTAACAGGGAGCTTCTGGGCCCCCAGGTCACCCAGCTGGAGCCAGTGCTCTGGAGGTTGGCAGGTTCCCTGCAACACAGCAGCCAAGCTATGCATGCCCAGCTGGGGCCAACATTCTGGAGGCTGACTGGCTTTCCACACTGTAAAAGCAGCTGCCCCAAAGGCCCCATCTCCAGGAGGGTTCCTGCCATTCATCTCCCTGCTAGGCTTCCAGCTCCAAAAGAGGGAAAACTACCAGCACTGAAACTGACATTATTGTCAGTTTCACAGCTGCTATTTCACATTTTGTTTCAGGAATAGTGTTCCCCCTAAACTGCACAGCTTCACAGGTGACTAATCAGCCCCACCCTGTCCATCAGCTCTGAGCCTCTGACTGGGCGGGGCTGATTAATCATCTGGGAAGCTGTGCTGCTGTGCAGCTTAGAGGGAACACTGTTTTGTAATGACATTTTCATGGATCTCCAGCTCCAGTAAAATTGCTTTTCTTCTAGATCAGAATGAAATTAAATTTGTAAATTCCCAAATCCTCTGGGAACTAAAGTTCCTGAATTTCAGTGAACTTTAGTCATGAACTCCCTGCCCATCCCATATTATTTACTGGGAGGGTGGCCTGGCTAGATGGAAGAAGACCTGTGGGTTGGGTCCCAGTATGGAGAAGGCTGAGAACTACTGCCTTAGAAAAATAGTTCCCAAACATCCGTGTCTTCTTAAATTATGAGGAATAGGGGAGCAGGGACGAAATAATTGACCCTGCCAGAACCAGCTCTCCAGCCTGCCTAAGGTTCTGAGCACATTTCCTTGGGTTTATCAAGGATCCAAATTAACCAAACTCAAGGTAATGCCAGTCTTCACTTCTCATCCTGTTGAGTTGGCACCACTTCATGTGGGCCCCTGGGAACTTCGCCTTATTGTCTCCTCTTATCTCCCCATTTGTTATCCCCAGATCCCTTAAACTCAGAGTCTAAGGCCATGTCAACACTACAAAATTATGTTGACCTAACTTATTGGCATACAACTGCCACAGTTACAAAATCACTTGTGTGTGCGAACACTTGTTTCCTTGAGTCAGGGATGTGCATTCTCACCGGGAGTGCTTGTATCGATTGTGTTGTCAGCATGGGGGATTGTGGAATGGCTCCTAAAGGCCGGTAACTTCAACATATGTAATATATTATGTGAACTGGCACTAAATTGACCTAATGACATTGACCGTGCCTAGGCCATTTGGGCATCTGGGTGTTACTAAACTGGCTTAGAGAGACACTTATGTCTGTGAATTTTAAATGAAGCAAGGTCATGCAAGGTCGTTTACACTGACCTAACTATGCAGTGTAGACCAGGTCAAAGAGTACTGTGAGACTGGAGATGGCATGAGAATCAGGAAGATATTTCTCCCTCCATTGAGGGTGATGTAGGAGCCTCTCCCCAACAGCAGAATGTCATGATTGTTGCTAGAGTATTTCCCATCCCTGAGGCTGCCAGGTAGAGTTATTGGGAAATGCCCTGAAGGCTGCAGGAGAATTCCCACTTGTTCCTGCCCCTTTGG